AAAAAAAAAAAAAAAAAAGAAAGTCTCTGCAATTTTCAATTTTACTGTTGCAGTTATTGTTTAGTAGCTATGACCTCTGACTGCGAAAATATGCAAAACTATCTAACAGTACTCCTAGCTCAAGCCAACAGTTTTTTGTTTTTTTTTAAAGTTCAAGATTCTACCACTTGGGAGGATGGGACAGGAGGATGGTTGTTAGTTCAAAACCAGCATGGGCTACAAAGTGAGCTCAAGGCCAGCCTGAACTGTGCAGCAAGACTCTGGATCAAAATTGGAAAGAAAAAAAAAAAAAAACCACACCAAACTTGGTTTCCTATAAATTATGAACTACTACATAGAATGATGGTAAATATCACCTTACATATGTCATAAACCAATTCGTAAAGACAATTTCGATCAGAGAGCATTTTGTTGTCAATCACCAAAGCTCCAAGGAAAATTTATAGTCACTTAAAAGATCAAAGGTATTATTAAGTCTTTAGGGAAAGAAGACAAATCATTACTTAATTTTCCATTTTTAAATTTTTGGAGAGAAATGAAAGTGTAGCCTGTTAGCAACATCAGTCAAAGAATGCAGGTATGATTCAAACAAAAATGATTTAACAGAAAAGTACATGTTATATTTTCTCTGTCTTCCTCTATAGACAGAATGATCTGAAGGGGAAAGCAGAGAAAAGCTGACTAGCAGAAGCTTTTAATAGCTTCAACAGAAGCCTTGGAGGATCTGGAAAACATGGCAAGAGGCTTAATTGCAGATTATTTTAGAGAAATCTCAGATGAAATTAAATGAAAAAGGAGATATACCTCCAGTCATCATTACAGTATGGCTTAGGATAATAGAATACTAAGAAAGCCTTGATAAAGATACATAATTGGACCTGAAAGAGAATTTCTAAAGTGAAAAACCCGGAACAGCAAAAGTAAAGCATAATGGTAACAAACACCAAAGCAAGTATTTCTGACCTAGTAGTGTGTAATAAAGTTTGCTACGAGAAACTTAATTTTACATGCTAGTAAGGAAAACAAGCACAAGACAAGAACATGCATGCAGCTAAGCTAAAGGTTGAAAGATTAGAAAATGCGTAATTCCCCCCACTCACTTGTGATATCATAAACAACAACTGCCACAGTGGAGTCACGAATGTAGCTAGGAATCAAGCTCCTGAACCGCTCTTGACCTGCTGTGTCCCATAATTGCAATCGTACCTAACAACAAAATCAGTCAAACAAGCAAGAAAAATAAGAAAGGTCAACCCATTGCAATATACCTACTTGTGATATCGTAAACTACTACGGCTGCAGCAGAATCACGGATGTAACTGGGAATGAGGCTACGGAAACGTTCCTGACCCGCAGTATCCCACAGCTGCAGCCTGATCTGTGGGATGGGAAAAAATAAATAACAAATAAAAAAAAAAAAAAGAGAGAAGAAAAAAAGAAAAAGAAAGAAAAGAAAAAAGAAAATGCTTTTGTAAAGGGGGAGGAGGAGGGGTAGAGAGAAGACTCATGCAAGAGGTTTCAGGGGAGTAAGGAATGAAAAATAATACAAAACTACTTTTTCAAAAGGGAGTAGTTATTAAAAATGTCTTGCTCTGAAGGTAGATACATGACTAAAAAAATCACTGTGAAAGATTTCAGATTCAAATATGGCTTCCCTTTTTTCCCTCTCTATAACCTCTTTGAATCCCTATACCTTTCAGATGACAAAAAGTAGGCTGTTGATATTCAATACTGAACATAAAAGAGAAAAAGAGAGTAAATACTAAATGAGCAGCTCAAGCTACAGAGCGAAGGCATTCATGTTTCCTTGAAGGACTCTCAAAGCTAAAACATATTTCTTTCTTATTGAATCTGGAATATTTTGAAATTGGGTCTTTTCCTACTATGCTATGTTTCTCCCATATACTTCTCCCTAACCCAACATAGATGATCAAAAAAGGAGAAGTATCTTTTTGCAACCCAACACATTTTTTTACTTTCTTTCTCACATCTAGATTATAAAAAGACAAGCTAAAAATAAGCATTAAGTTATCTTACCATTATAGTAGTCTCCAAGCCTTCAAGTTCTAAGAAATGCTATGTTTTATGTACATATATGAAAACACAAAAATCCAAAAGAAAAAAACACACTTACAGTAAATAACATTAGAGATAAAATAATGTCTTTTGGGTACAGGTCCTGCAAGATTACACTTAAGGTAGTCAATGTTTTGGTGACAGAAATTTCTTCAAAGAGTAGTAGGCTAAGGGTACACTAGAAAGATAAAAATCTGACAATACATACTGTTTCTTCCTATTCAGTCACTTTGGCACATATACTTCTGACAAAGAAAATCTTTAAGTTCACAAACTGTATGATATTCAAATGAAATTTTTCTGAATACCTCAAAGGTGGCACTCCAAAGATATTTATCAGATCTAATTTCTTCATGAAAATTCTCTTAATTCTCCCTTAAAGCTATTAGTCATCACTTTTCCAAATCAACATGACAAATTTTGTTTAACAAGGCTAGGGACAACAGGGCTTTATAAAATACTTATCTTTCTCCTTTTGGATCTCACTTGGACTTAAGTCAGAGGGCTTAGAACAGCTCACTCTGTAATACTGATTTTACTCAATGCCTATGAACTAACTGGGAACTACATATTTCTACAGATGAATATCACCGATTATGGCTTTGATCATAGGTTTCTAATGTGGAGTATTCCAGAAAATTGCACACTGAAAACATTACTCACTGTTCGATCCTCCAAGTACATTGTTTTTGACAAAAAGTCAATGCCAATTGTTGCCTGAAAGACAAAACAAAACAAAGAAGTGAACACACAACAACAGTGTGATGATGGCCAATAGTTTAGGATACAAATGGAATTTATGACCATGGGAGAAATAAAGAACAAACACTTAAGCACATAATACACAAATAGGAATCAACAAAATTTCCAGTGATAATATCTACCACATAATAAGCACCTGCAATGTTAGAGATTATTTCAAGCTCTTTACACAAATCACCTCTAATCCCCATACATTCTTGCAAGGAAACTCATTTTACCTTTATTTTTATTACTTTATAGATAACATGACAATGAGAATTTCAGTATGTATATTTGTATTCAGATATTTCTATATTTTTATTTAGACTTTAATATGAGTATCTGAGTGCTCCTCAAACAATACTTATTTGTCTTAACAGCAATTTTATATAATATTGCTGATGTAAATTACTATCCTGACTACTCTTTCTACCTAATTGCTTCTCAATTGTCCTGATGTCACAGATAGCTAGAGAGCCACAAATATGATTTTCTAAAAAGGACACAATTTTTCCAATATAAAAGAAAATTAAGTAAGGAAAACAAATTTTCCTTTGTAGCACACAATGATAATCAGTTTCCTTCCATGGTCCAAATATACATAAAATCTTGTTGGCTGGCTGTTTTTTATAATTAGCCAGAAAAAAAAAAACAAACAGAAATAATAAAGTCACAAAAATATAAAGACTGGGCCAGAGAGATAGCTTGTCAGTCTAAGGGCCTGCCTGACAAGCACAAGGACCTGGTTTCAATCCCTGCCACAGCATGCCATGCTGGCCCAGTGCCAAGATGGCCACTGAAATCAGGCAGGGTGGCACACACCTATAATCCCAGCACTGGGGAGGCTGAGACAGGAGGATCACTGAGTCTGAGCTGTGTAGCGAGACCCTGTACCAGAAGGACTTTTTTTTTTTGCCGACTCAGGATGCCTTAAAGGCAGGTCTACTAAGGCATGAGGATCTAGGGATCAAACCACAGAATTCTTCGTTTTAGCAGGCACTTAAACAACTGAGCTAATGGGCAGGACCCCAACCCTGTACCAAATAAATAGACAAATAAGAGATTTAAAAATATAAAGACTATAATAAGGACAGAGGAAAAAATAGTTAAGTTAAAGAGGAATCCACAATTCAATGTGGGAAATAAGAATAGAAATAAAAGTAAGAAATACAGGAAGGAAGGTAAGTAGGAAGGAAGAGAAGGGGCAAAGAAACCTAAGAGGACACTGATGCAAATTCTATTACAGAAGGTTAATCATCCCATTTACAAACATGTTCATATATTAGGTACATAAGTGTGTTTATGTACTTTCCCCTTAAATATTTCTGGGCTACATTACTTAGTATAAAAACAATACAGACTCTGAATTTTTAAAATAAGTCACTGGGCCAGTATATAGCTCAGTGGCACAAGTGCTTGCCTAGCAATCACAAAGTCCTGAGTTTGATTCCCAGTAGAAAAAAAAAAAAAAAAAAGCACTCAGTTATTATCTTTTTGGACAAGCTTTATTATGTGCCTAAAAGTCATTGTTTTTAATCTATGCAATCTTGTGATTATGTTTAGTAACAATCTGTAATATCCTTTGGGATAAGAAATACTCAATCCAAAGTAATTACAAAAGTTACACTGAGCAAGACATCTTCCTCAGATAAACAAATACATTTATTCCAACTTTAGGGATCTTTCTATAGTCTAAGTTGAACATAAAACTGGCAGTATTTAATGTTTTGAATTATAAAATGATGGCAGTAAAATGGTTTAAACTTACAAGTTTTTTTTTGAACCTGGGATCGAACTCAGGACCTTGGGCTTGCCAGCAAGAACTTATTCCACTGAGCTATCTCCCCGGCTCTAAAGTTACAAGCTTTAAACTGTTCGAAAATCTGGAGGTTTGTAATTGGAAAGAGTACTGGAAGTAATTAAAATTACAAAATGCTGATTTTATCATTTCTGCTACATTTACTCTAGATGGAATTCTTCAACACAAAACATACCAAGTAGAGCTATTTGCTTATATTGAAGTACAAGATGCATATGTAAAGGCAGGATAGGTATTTTTTTCCTTTTAATTCCCAATTTCAAGGGCCAGCCACATAGCTCAGCAGACTAAAGCACCTGCTTAGACAGGGCGTAGCAGCTGGGGTTCGATCCCCTGCACACCATACCAGCTCCGCCCCCAAGGCACACTGAGATTGAGACTGGGTGTGGTGGCACATGCCTGTAATCCCAGCTCTCAGGAGGCTGAAAACAGGAAAATCACCACAAGTCTGATCTATGCACTGAGACTCTGCAGACCCTATACCAAGTATAAATTTAAAAAAAAAAAAAAGAAAAGAAAAGAAATGCCAATTCTCAATTTCAAAGGAGTTGAGGCTTTAGCTATAATCAAATGGGGGAAATGAGATTCATGTTTGTGACTTTTTTTTTTGAGGCAGGAATCTTGTTACGTAGCCCAGGCTGGCCTTGAACTTGTGGTGATCAGCCTGCCTCAGTCATCTGAGGGTTGGATTACAGATGTCCACCATCGCATTTGTCTTATTCTTAATGTGGTATGTATATGTTTTACAAATTTCTCAAGAGGAATGTAATTATTTACTGTTAACACATACCAATAAAATTTTTAAAATATAGTGTCCACCAAAGAAAATGTATATATATTTCAGGAAAAGAAAAATAATATGATGTTTTTATAACAGATGGTGTTACCCTCCTACGCGAGACCTGAAAGGATGCTGTATATCACAGAAAATCCACCACATTGGTGGCTCTTAGACAAGAAATTGAAAATGCATGTGTAGGGCCAGCAAGATATAGCTCATCAGATTAAGTGCCTGCTTAGGTAAGCACAGGGTAGGGGGCTCAATCCCTGGTACCACGTGCGCTGGCCCTGCCCCTAGTGGGTACACAGAGCCAGTGACTGAGTTGGGGAGTGGTGGCACAAGACTATAATCCCAACACTGGGGATGCTGAAAACAGGAGGGTCATTAAGTCCAAACTGCACTATATTGACAGTATCGTGGCACCCTGCTCTTTCCCGGTTCAACTTTCATAGACTATTTCAAGGGTTTTCAAAAAAATACTAATCTAAATTATTTATCACAGATTTTTCACAGTATCACGGATTTTTACAGTACCGTACAGTATATACATTTATGATCGCTGTTAAAATTACATAGGTTTATGAGTTTAAAAAATGGTTAAGAAGATTAGAAGTGTTTTTAAAAGTGTGGGAAAGATTTATAAGAGTGGGGAAGGGTTTATAAAGACTTAAAATCTATGTAAACACTAAAATAAATACAACATTGCTACTTGGCTGATATTCACTTATCGCGGGGGTGTCTGGAACATAACCTGTGCAATAAGTGAGGGACCACTGTATCTTCCTGCTTCAGCCTCCCCGAGTGCTGGGATCACATGTGTGTGCCACTATGCCCAGCTTTGCATTCTTTAGTCTCCCCTCGTACTTTTTTTGGTTTGCTTTTTGAGACAAGGTCTCACTATATACTTTAGGCTGGCCTGGACTCACAGTAACCCAGACCAGCAATCCTCCTGCCTCAGCCTCCAGATTACAAGGATTATGGGTGTGAACCACCAGACCTGGCTCTATTTATTAAGATTTTCTGGGGCTGGAGAGATGGCTCAGTGGTCTAAGGCACCTACTTGGAACAAGCTTGGCAAAGCACAGGGGCCACTGTTCGATCCCCCAGCACCACATGCCAGCCAGCCCCGCCCCCTGGTGGGCTGAGCTGGCCACACACACACACACACACACACACACACTAAATAAATGTAAAAAATAAATTTAAAAAAAAAAATATGTAGTTCAGACTACCCTTGAGTTCACTTTGCAGCCCAGGTTTGTCTCAAACTTGCAATGATCCATACTCCTGCCTCAGCCTCTAGAGTGCTGGAATTACAGGTGTGCACCACCAGGCCCAGCTTTGTTTGCTTTCTAAGTCAGGGTCTTGCTGTGTAGTCCAAGCTGTCCTTGAACTCACTAGGTAGGCCAGGATGCCCTTCTATTTGCCCACTTTTTGTTGTTGTTGTTGACTGTTGGGTAGCCAGGAAAGAAGAAAGTAAAGTAGGATACTGTCTGGCATAAACAAAAACTAGAGCAAATGAAAAATAATTAAGGGTGGGGAATGACAAATATAAAAGATGAGATTTAACAGAATTAGGGAATGGCTTTTGCTAGAAATATACTGGAATGAGAAAGAAGATTAGGATAAATATAGTTACATGTTTTACAATTAGAGTTGATGCAAGAAAAGCAAAAAAGGATATTCTTTCTGACAATTTCCACGCCTCTCAGAAGCATGGGATTTAAATAAGGGTCAGGGAGAGTGGTAGTAGCGACTAAAGGCAGGTAGAAGGAGTATGGAATAAGTATGCAATTGATAGTTTTTAAAAAGGAAATTAAAATATAAGAGCACTTGATAAAACTTTCAACACAGTTGATACTAGTGACTAATATGTATTTAATATGTTAAATATTAAAGAAATATATATTAAACATATTAAAGAAATGACTAGATTCAATTATAATATGGAATATTTAGATAGATATAATTAAATGAGACCATTAGTTATTTTCCCATGCTGTCTAAATGAGAAAAAGAAGGGCTGTCAAGAGAGCTCAAAGGACTAAAGCGCCTGCTTAGGCAAGCTTAGGCAAGCTCACGGACCGCGGTCTGACTGCTGGCCCCACATGCCATGCCAGTGCTGCCCCCAGGGCAGGCTGAGCCAGCTACAGAGTCTGGATGTAGAGGCATACACCTGCAATGCCAGCGCTGAGGAGGCCGAAAACAGGAGGATCACTGAGTCCAAGCTGTGTAGTGAGACCCTCTGACAATCAAATACATTTAAAAAAAGAAAAAAACTTAAAAAAATAAAATAAACTAGAAAAAAAAGTAAAATAAGATCAAGGACTTTACAAATAATATGGATGAATTAACAGATTTGAGGCTTTGATGTAAATCATTGGAGGAAAAACTATTATACTAAAAATATCTTGAATAAAAAAATTTCAAAAGATAGAAAATTGTCCTCTGAGAAGGAAATATGTTAATCAATGACTTTTAAAGAAGGTTAAGATCATAGAACAGTAAAGGAGGCAAGCAGATACCTTTTTTTTCATATCAGGAATCAAACTCAGGACCTTGCACTTGCCAGGCAGATGCTTGCACCACTGAGCTAAATCTCTAGCCCAAGCAGATCTTCTATAACATGAATATTAAGTTGCCTAAAATGCTGATTAGAATGGAGAAAACAACTGCTCACTAAAGTCTTCAACAAAAGACGTCAAAACAAGAAATGTTTTTCTAACTTGATAAATGACTATAGTCACAAAAATAGAACTTCATTTCCAAAATATAAGGAATCATCATGCTTAGGGGTTATAATTGTTTTAGATATGAAACACATATTCAAAAAAAAAAAAAAATCAAGTAATTGGTTCCAAACCACCCAAATTTTAAATGCCAGAACTAGGATGTAAATAAAGTCCTTCTGACTCCTAAGATTCATTATATAACCTCTATAGAAGAACACTGCCCACATTATCCATAAAGAAAGATTCAATTCGGAAGGCATACACCTGAAATATTTCAAATGTGGAAAAATACATATTACAAAGGAACTCCAAGGGCTGAGGATGTAGCTCAGTGGCACAACACCTACCTAACAGGCACAAGTCCCTGAGTTATATTACCAGTACCAAAAAAACCAAAAGGCCCTAATTACATTTATCCTAAAGCTTTTTGAAAAACAAAAGTTTGACAGTTGAGATCATGAGAGTTAACAAATGATAGTAAAAATGACAAAAAATGTTCCTTTAATCAGACTAACATTTGATGTACTACTAAGGCAAAATAATAGAAATAAAGTTTCTATGCTAAGTATATAGTACTATAGACTCAAAATGGTTAAGTGGATTAAGAATACCTTTAAAATGTTTTAAAATATGTTAGGTATATGGAATATTTATAACATACAAAGAGGGTCAGAATAAGTGCTTATTCTTAAATACTAATTTATTATTTTTGGTTTGCTCCTTCTGTTTTGCTTTGTTTTACAATTAAACAATTCCAAGAACTGACACTGATGTCTTGTTAGTTGTGTTTTTCATAGATGATCTTTATATTGTTGAGAAAGTTACTTTCTACTCCTAGTTTGCTAAGAGCATAATTTAATTTTATTTTTATTTTTATTTTTGTGGTACCAGAAATTGAACTCAGGGCCTTATGCCTGCCAGGTAGGCACTTGTGCTACTGAGCTATATCCCTAGCCTCCCTGAGGGTGTAATTTTAAATTGACACACACAAGGGCTGGCCAGATAGCTCAGCAGATTAAAGCATCTGCTTAGGTGGAACGCAGCGGCTGGGGTTCAATCCCTGGCATGCTGGGCCAGCACTGAGGCGTGGTAGCACACACCTATAATCCTAGTGCTTGGGAGGCTGAAAACAGGAGAATCACTACGAGTGTGATCTATGCATAGTGAGACCCTGTACTAAATACATCAAAAAATAAATACATTGATACACATAACTACTGAAGTTTATGAGACAAAACTTCATGTTTTGGTACACGTTTTTATAATGATCATTTTGATCATTAGTTTATTAATCACCTTAATCATTATTCATCTGTGGTGAAATATTAAGACATTAAATAACCTAACCTATCACATTTCTGGCACACCTCTCAAATGACCCTGAAACTACCCCATGTTGCTCTCCTGTGGCATGGCATACTTCCTTGTCTTGGGATCTGTGAGTTTAACAAAGTATCTTTTCAGTGGCAATCATCTGATGTACAGTATTTATTGGGCTCACTATTTCCTTCTGTTTGCCTGTACTTTTTTCTTTTCAATTTTTTTTTTTTGGGGGGGCGGGGACCGGGGAGATGTCTCAGTAGAATAAGCGCTTGCCTGGCAAGCACAAGAGCCTGAGTTCAACCCCTGATTCCACAAAAAAAATAAAAATAAAAATAAAAAATTTCACTTTATGTATTTGGTATGGGGTCTCACTTCACAGCTCAGATTTGTAGTAATTCTCCTGTTTTCAGCCTCCCCAGTGCTGGGATTATAGGTTTGCACCACCATGCCGGAACTCAGGAGCTGGCTCAGCATGCCCAGGGGCAGAGCTGGTGTGGCATGTAGACCGGGAATCAAATCCTGGTCCCTGCGCTTGTAAGCAAGCACTTAGTCTGCTGAGCTACCTTGCTGGCCCTTGTCTGCTTGTACTTTAGTTTTTCTGGTTTCTTAGGATGAAAAGTTAGCTTATTCATTTAATAGCACTAGCTTAGCTGTATACTGTGAGCTTTGGTATGTTGTACTTTGCTTTTTTTTTTTTTCATCAACATATTTTCCAATGTCTTTTGTGATTTCTTTCTTTTCATTTATTATTTAGGCTGTTTAATTCTATTCATCAATTTCTCAAAATTTTTTCTATTAATGATTAATTTTTTGTTTTGTTTTTTGTATTTCAGGGAAGGGTCTACAGGGTGTTCACGGTCTCACTACTAGATGGGACTTGTAGTGATCTGCCTGTCTACAGCCTCCCAAGAGCTGGGATTATAGGCACACACCAGTCGCTGTCTCAGCAAGCCCCAGGGATATGGCCAGCACACCTGGGGTCTGAACCACTGGCCCCTGTGCCTGCTTGCAGGCACTTTAATCTGCTGAGCTAAATGATTTCTAATTTTATTACTTATTTATTCCTTGTTGAGAAAGGGTCTCACTGTGTAGTTCAGGTTGGCCTTAAAATCACTATGTACCCCAGGTTGATCTTGAATTCTAGGTAATTCTCCAGCCTCAGCCTCCCAAGTGCTAGGATTACAGGTGTGCACCACTATGCCTGTCTTATTCTGTTACAGAATCCTATATTTGGATGAATTCTCTGTAAGAGAATATCTACTATCAATTCTAATAACCTTCCAAATTGTATTAAGCCAATTTTTCAATAAATGTTGGAAAAGAAGCCTAACTGTGGTGGTACACCACTGTAGCAGTCCATCGCCTTAACCAGCTGGCCACCTCGTCCCACTGGGCATGACTGTAATCTCAACACTTGTTAGACTAAGGCAATAGAATCACAGCGAGTTTGAGGCCAGCCTGCGCTACATAGGGAGTTTAAGGCCAGTCTGAATTACATGAGATCCCGTTTCAAAACACAAAAGTAAACTAAGGTTGAGGACTAAGAGCAAAAATCCTTTATACTTTATATAAATATAGCATCTTACAAATTACAGAAAATACTTTTACATTCATGCATTTTACAATCAATACATTTAATAATTTTTTTAAAATATCTTGCATATTAAACACAAAACAAACAATAAACAAAAAAAAAAAAATACCTGATAGGTGTTGTCAAAACTGTCATACATGAATCTGGTGATCAAAGATGTCTTTCCAACTGAAATGAAAAGAAGCAAAAGAGACTTGCTCAGTGAACACATTATACTGGGTTCTCAGGCAATTGTTCTACAGAGAGCTACAATGAAAAGGACAACAACTACAATAGTTATAATCATAATAAAAACCATATAGTCCCAAGCTTACTGACATGACTTTCTCTAATCATAAACAATCTTTTCACATTAAGAACAGTTAGGAGTATTTAGTTAAGATGAGGAAAATGAAGAGACAAGATACAGGAAAGCAATCAACTGTGTTGACTCTCTAATACACAAAAAGCCAAGCAGATATTTACTTGGGCCTTAACAAAAAGAACTCATCTAGATTCACGTCCACTTCATTCAGTGAATTGAAGTATAATCCCTAAGATCAGAAAGATAAAGAGTCCTAAGGAGTATGAGGGCTATAAGAACTAGACTGTTGAAGAGTAAGAAAGAAGTGACAGGAGGAACTGTCAAAAAATTATCCCAGGATCAGACCTCTCCATTTCATTGGCAAGGAAATCCCAAAAATCCATACTTCCACTTTGTGTTGGTATTTTTCAGAAAGTGCCACTAGGCCAATCATAATGAATGCTGGCAATTGCCCTACTTATGAGCACAATCTCCAAGAGCAAAATAGTATCTGTTTTTCTATTTCTTAGTAGTTTGGCAAAGACTCAATAAGTATTAAACAAAAGAGTCTACCAATTAGAAAGGAACTATATAAGCCTGAACTGGTGGTGCACTCCTATAAATCCCAGCACTTGGGAGTCACTAAAACAGGAGGATCACTAAGTTCGAAGCCAGCATGGACAGTAAGACCCTGTCTCAAACAAATATAAAAAATGAAAAAAAAAAAAAAAAAAGTGAATGAATCTCAAGAGTTGACACCACCCAATCTCAAAAATTTTTCTGAGAGTTTGCATGTGGCTCGCCTCCAGTGTCAGTGGTTTGCGCTGTCCAAAATTGTATTTCCTCTATCTCACCCCTTTCCAGCAAGTGCCGGCAAACAGATAATTCACGTCTTTTCTTCCATATTAGCACATTAGGGATAATATGAAAATTAAGATTTAAAAAACTTTATGGGGCTGGGGAGATAGCTCAGTAAAATAAGTGTTTGCCTGGCAAGCGCAGGGTCCTGAGTTCAATCCCTGGTACTGCAAAAAAAATAAATAAATGAAACAAAAATTTATTTCCAAGCAAACATCTTCACAATTGATACTACTGTGAATAACAAAAGGCATTTTATTTTATCTACTTACTTTTATTTTATTTTCATATTTTAGGGAAGGGTCTACATGGGACTTGTAATGACCCGCCATCATGACGATACAACTTACAAAAATGAAAATTTCTCTTACAAAATGAAAATGTGCCACATGATCCTGTAACCATGCTCTTTGGTATTTATCCAAGAGATACAAAATTATGTCTACACAACAATTTGCATATGGAGGTATCAGCATGGGCTCTGTGTGGGGGACGGGCAGCAGCCCCTGAAGTTGCACCCAGTGCCTCTGTTCTCAGGAGAGGGTGTATCTGTTTTGGTACTGAAGCAAGAGCTATAAGGGGCTATGAGGCAGCTACCCTACTTCATGCTACATCGTAGTTAAAACAGTAATAGAGAACAAGGAAAGACTACTGAAAGCTGCAAGGGAGAAATGACAAGTCACATACAGAGACAAACCCATGAGGTTAATTTCAGATCTCTCTGCAGAAACCCTAAAGATCTGGAGGGCATGGCTTGATACATTTCAAGCTCTGGAAACAAAACAAAACAAAACAAAACAAAACAAAACAAAACAAAACAAAACAAAACAAAACACCAACTGAGATTACTGCTATACTCAGCAAAGCTGATGTTCCAAACTGAAGTAGATGGCCGGCCAGATAGTTCAGTGGACTAAAGCATCTGCTCAGGCAGAGTGCAGTGGCCAGAGTTCAAGCCCCCATATGCTGTGCTAGGGACCCTGGAAAAGAAGTGACTTCAGAGGGAAATGAAGAGAAAGAAAAAAAAGTTGAGGAAGAGGAGGTATATGATGAAGAACATGAAGAGGAAACTGACATCATGTCATATTTTGACAGTGGAGAGGATGTGGGAGGTGACAGTGATAACAGGATGAGGGCTATGTACTGAAGAAAAATTGTAAATAAAACTCGTATCTTAGGGCCGGGGAGATGGCTCAGGAGAACAAGCACTTGCCTGGCAAGCACAAGGGCCTGAGTTCAATCCCCGGTCTGCCAAA